ATCAATTTTGGGTATTTTGGCAAAATTTGGGAATTTTAGCCAAATTTGGGTCCCAAGGGTAGTTAGGTAATTTGGAGGTGCCTAGGAGCAAAAGACCAAGTTAGGCATTTCACATAGAATTGGATAGATATCCATTCTAAATGAACCATGGATTAATGTATTGTGAAGATATGGTGAACCCTAGTTCCAAGTCAACACCCAGGGTCAATTCTAAAGCCAAGTAATCCTATAAAAACTCTTCTTGAATTCTCTCATAATGATCTTACCTACTAAATGCTAGAGGTTAAGATCAATATGTGGAATTTCAAGTTGAGTAAAAAGAAAGGCTTTGAATTTCTAATAATGAGGGTACCTTTTCTAGTTTTCTAAGACTAGTCAATAGGAAAGTCCTATGGCTAGACCTAGGCTACTGTAGAAGTTTCTAGACCTCAACCAAAAGTGAGGTCAACACTTCGAAATTCGAAAAAAATTCCAAAAATTATAAAAAATTTTAAAAAGAAACTTTTGTATTTCTACTATCATTTTTAGGTAAAATTTGGAAAATCCCCCATGAACTTTAAAATTTTAAGCAACATTCCCAAACTTGGTCTGTTTTGTCTAATAGTATCTTTGTTGTCATATCTACCTTAATTTCCTATTTTAACCCTTCCAATTACTTTCAAACTCTCTAGAAAATTTCTGAACTTTATCTTAAAATTCTTACTGGAGTTCCATAGAAATAATTGAACTTCCCACATCAAAAGACATCACTCATAATCTAGATAATTGGAAAAAATATCTTTATTCTAATGACCCCTCATCTCATAATGATTTACTTAATCAAAACATAAGGATCAATTAAAATTAAACATTTCCCTTAGCATAGACCCTTACAATAATTCAAAAAGTACTCAGTCATTGAAACCACTATGGGCTAGCTTTCGTGTTGACTTATATGGTATCACAACACCCTCCTTTCCAAGGAGAATGCCTTTCTAAACCTCCACGATGCAAACTTTATTCCTCTGCCTCTACGAGGTGAGTTCTGAATCTTTCTTCTCTCAAGATAAAGCAGTGATTAGGTGATTGTCACTAACACGAATCTTCTCAGACATGATCGCTATCATGAGAGAAAGCTGAACACCATTGAGCATCAAAGTTGACTTAGCGAGAGAGAGAGAGAGAGAAAGAGAGACATGAGAGAGAGAGAGAGAGAGAGAGAGAGGATGTGATGGATATTATGCAAGTTAATTTATAGGACACTCTAGCGGACCATCGACAAAGCATCACATCAATTATGTATTATTTCAAATTAATATGTTAAATAATTTTAAGATAATGAACCCTTTTTTATATTACTATCCTTCAAAATATGAGAATCTAGGAAATACATATATACACATCATTATAACACGTGATACCAAGTCATCCATATGATTTGGTAAACTTGGCCCAAGCACCAGTCGTGGTCCAAGAGGTTCTTACAATTAGTTTGTCATATTCAAGTCAACTCACTCGACATAGGGAGAAAAATTTACGTCAGGGAGGTTATTTAAAGGGTATTGGGGGGTTATATCTGTGTTATATGCTCTGCAACCTACTTCTAACCTACAAATATAAGAAAACAGAATCGCGAAGCTAACTAGAAGGTTCAGGTAGGTTACAGGGAGGTTACTGGGGGTATACCGCAGATATAACCCCCAATACCCTCTGTATAACCTCCCCGACGTATGCAGCGTTGCGTACGTCTTCGGTACGCACATTTTTCTCCAACATAGGGCCCTTACAACAGATGACTAGGCCTAGTGAGTGCGGCTTAACGACTAACTCATTAGAATAGATGGGTTGTGTTAATTAGAAAACTTGTAGCTTTCCTAAGAAACTCTTTCCAATATTTTTTGTTCAAGCCTTAATACTGAGGGTTGTTAACTCCAAACCTTAGCTTCAAGGCAATGATGGATTATGCATGTAGACCAAATTGGGTGTCTTGGGCAACACTATCCAAAATGTGGCCTATGGAGTCTGCCACCCACATAACTATTCCCATGAATTGGACACTATGACAAAAGCCTTTTCTCTATAGGAATACACCTATTTGAGATTTTTTCTCCATTCTCTCTATATAAATAGAGGGTCAAATAGTAAAAAGAGGGCAGGCTAGGCATTCTGAGAAGCCACGCCTCTTATAGTTACATTGATGAAATGAGGTTTTTTTTACCCTCTGAATAATTTTTTTTTTCTCATTTAGTACTTTAAGGTCACTCGCGAGAAAATCTAAAAAAAAAATCATAGCTAAAATCTATCTTTTATTATTTAATAACATGCTACTCAATGTTTTAAGCAATATAAAATATAACGCTTATTTCAATGTTCCATCACCTATACTATTTTTCTAACTCTAATGATTCTAAATATTTCATATGCTTTGCTTTTCCTTCTTAATTAAAAAGTAATCATAAATTGTAAATTTTGGTCTTTTATTCGTTTTTTTTTTTGGGTATATTTGAAATTGTTTAAAATTTTAGTAATAGATAATAAATAATAAAAATTAATTGTTGATTGGATTGTTAAAAAAGAATAAAGTACATATAAACTCGCTAAAATTATTTAAGTTCTTCTCAACAAGATGATCTTTCAATTATTACCTTAAAGATATATATATATATATATCAATTT